TAAAGAGAGAGAGAAAAAAATCACAACAGTTGATGATTGCACTTTCATCCTAAATTCACTGAGGTATATTACCCATCAAAAAAAAATTTAATACATCCAGTAGCATTAAAACAAAAATATAAGGAAACAAATCAGCACATATGCACAGTCTCTCCTTGAGGCAGATGAATATTCTATTCTATCTAAGAACCCTGTGATTAGAAAAATATTTCCAATTAAATACAGATATTGCAAACAAAACTAGAGATTGAATCAGAAATTCCAGTCCCCTTCATTTGATACAAATATATATCACATATATAAATTAAAAAAAAAAAAAAACAGTTTTCTTCAGAATGATGCATTTCACAATTTCACTTTCTATTGATATTAGCAATTTTACTTTAGTTGGTCTTTCTGAAGAGCATATCAGCTAACATTATAAATTGTAATATAATGCTTAAATATCTGAAATGTATTTAGCCACACCCCAACTGACATCCAAAAACAGGCTTTGTTCTTTTATAACTACTGTCATTTCATAATATATCTCTGTCAATACATATAATTGTCATTCTAAGTATACTTTGAAGACAATGGGTAACTTTACCTATTCAATTAGTACAGAATATTATCTTTATTCCTATGATGATGACAATGGCAAAAAAGATATCAATGACAATGACAATGACAATGGCAGTGACAATAACAATGACAATGATAGTGACAATGATAATGATGATAATGATAAAGCAAGCAAATAAACTCATAATATTCTCCACATACCATGACCAGGTTGACCAGCGAGACAGCATTGAGGGAGATTCCCCACCAGTACATGAGTCCGCCTAGATTGACGAGAATCATGGTAATGGTTGCCATCACCACGAAGGAGGAAGCGATGTCCAGACCTGAGAGGACAATGCTGACCAAGAACACCGTCACAAGGGATATGCCAAGCGATTTCAAGACATCATGCCACATGGTGAGGTATTGTTCATAGAACACGTAGAACACACTGTTGGTGTGAGAAAATATAAAATGTTTAGAATTTCTTCAGATAAAGCTTTGTCAGGATAGTTTCTCCAACAGACATTTAAAAAAAAAAATCAATAATAGGTATAACCTTTCAGTGATATATCAAAAATAATCAAGAACATATTTTCGAATACTTATCGAAATTTCCACTAACTAGTTTATTCAGCATTAAAGCTCTGTAGCATGCTGAAGGTCCAACAATCCAAATGACTAATACTATGTACATTTATGACCTATTTGCTATCCATTTGGATAGCTTTTCAGAAGAAGGTATCAGGTGAACTTAGTCTAAAATCACACATTATCCACAATAATAAATAAATAAATAAATAAAAGACACTGATGCTCAAATATTCCTTAGACAAACTAATAAATCCTTCATAGGCTGAAAAAAATTATCTTCTATCCCTTTTCCTCCTTTTTCACTGTTCCCAACATACAGTGATAACACAAATAAAGCATTTACTGCCTACAAACGAGCTCCTCCTACCTGTAAGGGAAAACTTCATACACTGGCTCCTTCTGACCCTCATTCAGGGTGTTTGTGATATTTTCTGAGATATCTCTGGCCCATTCTAGAGCCTCATAATAATCTTTGGATGTCTTGAGAATGGTGTGATATGTCATGAAGTAACTGGCACCAACTGCTGTCTGAGTAAAGATTAAAAAGCATAAATTTTGCTGCCAAAAGACGAAGTCCAGCATATGCTGAGACCTTTAATCAACATTTATTTATATCTCTTTTCATTTTATGATGAATGAGCAAAAAATAAAAACAAATATTAAATTGATAAACTTTCAAATGTCATACCTCATTTTTGTCTGTTGTTACAATTTTCACAGCTTGTCCATAAGCTGCATGCCCACCTTTAGGACATGTCTCACCTGGTACATCCTCCAGGAAAAATGGTAAATACTGCATAAAAGAGTCTGGATCGGGCCGCAGTCCATCCTTCAAGGAAAAGAGGGAAAAAATGTTAAGGCCTGCGTATAGGCAGACTAAAAATGATGCCGAGGCTTTATTTCAGCAGATGTCACAATCTCTTGGGAAAGAGGCTAGCAAAGACCTGTATTCTAATTATTTGTCTCTTATTTCTTATACTCCCGGCTATTTCTGAACAACACAGAAGTATTGCATATAAATCTAATATACTTATGACATCAACCAATTCTCTATCACCAGAAAATACCCATTCTTCCCTAAACCATTCTAACAAGCTCCACTGATGAGCTGTAATATTAGTCCTAAAGATGTAGGTTTGTAGACAGCGGAAAGCTACTTCAAATAGAGTAATATTAGATCTTACATCTGTTAGGTTGATGTTGCAGTCATCACAGTCAGACTCATAATCACTTGAGGGACAGAATGTTCCATCTTTCTTTACTCTGCAGCATGGTACATCACCACTTGGACTGTCCAGATTGTAAATGGACCAGTCCATATAGTCGTCTATCCATGAGGAGGCTGGCTGGGCGATGAAAGTTCTGCCAAAGAATATTTTGGTTATTAATTTTTTTTAATCTTAAATAATTAAGAACCAAATATACAAAATTTTGAAACGAAGAAAAATATGGGAGGACATTATAAAGCACAAAAAATAGCACATCAACTTGAATCTTGTATTTTTTTCCTTACAAACTTTACATCACTTACATCATTTCATATTATTCACTCACAATTTCACTAGACTACTTGAAATGTAAACATCAATTCTACCACTACAAATAATTGCTAAGGAAATATTAACAATAAATAAAAATAAACAGCTACACTTTCTTTTCTTTTTTATAAGCAACGCCAAAATTCTTTCCCAATAATTGAAAAAATCAATCTAACAGTCTAATACCAAAGTTAGTTGGCTAAAACAAAACAAAAGTACCAGAAAAAATATGTTCCCAGTGGATATACATTAAGTAAGGTTCCAATCTTGTATACTGGCCTGTATCAGATCTAATTTTCCTTACCTATTGGCACGGTGGGCAGCATAATACACTTGCATGGCCAAACTGTCCATGTCACAGTCCACAGTCCCACAGACTTTGTTCTGATCACTGAAGTTAGTAAAATTGAGACCTCCCTTGAGGACGAAGTACACTGGAGGTCCAACACTTAAGTACTTCCCTAGATACTGTAATCAGAGAAAGGAGAAACAATGAAACTAAATACAAAATAAAACATCAATAAATTCTAAACTCTTACCTCCATTAAAGGAAAACACAACACAAATACCAAATTTGGCAAAATAAAGACTTAAAATACAAATATAACAATACAATAATGTCAGTGACAATAGTGGTATCAATCATTTCAGCAACATAATGCTAATTGTAATAATTGTACATCCTTCTCGGATGCCAGACTCACTTCAAAATATTTTTGTAAGTAAGAATCTTCAGGCATTGATAATTCTTGATCAAGACCTATTTCAATCATTGGCAGAACAGCAATGCTTGAGAACAGCCATCCTACAAAGACCACCACCACAACTGGTCTAGCAATGCGGGACAGAAGCATGGGAGCATAGACGAGTTTAAAGAATTTCTGTATGGGGCCTTCAGGTGACGTTCCCTCCTTGTTGGATCCTTTGATGAAACAGCAGATGTCCAGTCTATTCTCCTGCAGAAGAAAACGGCATTAATATTGCACACATAAATCAAAAGTGGCAGGAAATATACTTCACAATTCAAAGAAGGAAAAAAATGATAGGGGGAAGGGAGGGAAGGAGGGAAGAGGAAGGAAGGAGGGAAGGGAGGGAAGGGAGGGAGGAGGAGGGAGAGAGGGAGAGAAGATAGAGAGAGAGTGGGGGAGAGGAGAGAGAGAGAGAGAGAGAGAGAGAGAGAGAGAGAGAGAGAGAGAGAGAGAGAGAGAGAGAGAGAGAGAGAGAGAGAGAGAGAGAGAGAGAGAGAGAGAAGAGAGAGAGAGAGAGAGAGAGAGAGAGAGAGAGAGAGAGAGAGAGAGAGAGAGAGAGAGAGAGAGAGAGAGAGAGAGAGAGAGAGAGAGAGAGAGAGAGAGAGAAATTCAATACGCACTTCTTGTCTCTTTGCATCCAGTGCCATGAGAGACACAAAACATGTGATCTGCAGGACAAAATCGATGGTGAGGGCAAGTCCAGCATACAGAGCAAATGCATGAACAGCAGGCATCCCTGAGAGCACCCCTGTGTTGAGAAAAAGAATTGTAAATTAGTTTGGATAATATGTAGAAGATATTTTATGATTATACATTCATATCTGATAATATTAGAGTACTTATACATTCTTGCACAATAATATAAAGCAATAGATATAGAAATAATGGTAATATTCATCAGATATAATATTATCTAAATTATCAAATCAAGTAAAAACCTGCCATTTTTATGAACAAGACTCCTTGTTTTTAATATTCATACTGAAGATAAAAATAGCACCAAGATATCAAGAAAATTGGGATATACCCCATCAGTGTTACAAACTTATCCCCCTATATCTATTACTAATAACACCAATATTTACCATATACAAATATAACATAAAGATAAAAGAATCTTGTTTTCTCAAGGTATCTTACATACCCAGGAAGAAGCAAGCTACTTCTGAGCAGGAGGCGAGTAAGATTGTGGGAACAACTTGCCCCACAACACGCCCAATGTGTTCTGATCGCGACTCAGCTGGACGGCGTGACTCGCGCTGATACGTTTGAACGAGAATAAACATGTTGTCTACTCCTACTGCTAACACCAAGAATGGTATAACCTGCAAGGAGAGAGAAAAAGTAGAGTGAGTTCAACATAAACTGAAGCCCTACTACCATGATGGTCACCACATACATTCAGATCTTCAACAATCAATAAAATCAAAACAAAAGGACTTGATAAACTCACTTCGATAATAATAAGCGTTGCAGGAACACCAGCATAGCCATAAACACCAATAGAAGATGAGACAGATATCAACACAATGAGTACACCACCCAAGCCCAGAGTAATCTTGGAGTCTACCAACACACGGCTACAACGTGTGTAGCTCCCAAGAGCTGAGGATGAAAAAGACATCAATAAATATCCTTATTAGATACTCTACAATAATTCATATATCCATCTTTCTATCTATCTTTTCATATGCATCATATATAGCCTATATGTATATAGCCTGTGTTTTTTTGTTTGAATGTGCATGTGCGTGTGCGTGTGCGCAAGTGTGTGCATGTGTGCTGGTGTATATAGGTTTGCATGTGTATGTATGTGTGTGTCTGTATATGTGTAAGCATATGCATGCTTGCACATCCAAGCCTGTGTTTGTGTAATTACTTGTGTTACCAGCAGGTCATAGAAGTGAAAGCTTATATCTTTATATTCATAACATCTTGCCTAAAAATTTGTAGCATATAGTATAATAATGACAGAATTTTATTCTCCAGAAAATATCTATGAAAAAATCTTTTATCTGAAAAAAAAAAAAAATCCAAAAGAAAAATCAAATATACATATGAATAAAAATCTTCAAACTAGTATGTAGTGATCCAATCGGTATTTCTATATATCTTTCACTACCTAAAGCAATGTATGCAAACATGATGCAGTAAGATATGAGGATGGTGATGACATCGCCCTCGCTCTCTCGCTGTAATTCGTCCTGAATGGATCGCTCGGCTGAAAATGCGATGTCCATCATTGGGTTATCATAGTCCTTTATGAACTTGAGAAAACTGCAAAAGAAAGTATTTACCATGATCAATAAAGATTTCAAAACAAAACACTAATATATTTCTTTTCATTTCTAACTAATGAATAACAATAGCAAGAGCACGTCCTAATGAAAACAATGATATCAAATGAGGAAATTAAACAGATAACCAAGAACAAGATAACTTACGCTTCCTCCCATGCTTTGGCTTTCTCCACCTTCTCCTTGTCATTGAAATTGTTGACTACAAGGGAGATAACAAGTGCTGAAGCATCTTTGTATGGAGGGTTCGCCCCAAGGATCTGAGAGCCGTTGAGAAAGCCCCCGAGAGCAGTGAAGGGCAGGATGGGTCCTCCGTACTCACCCAAGCAGGGAATATCTAAAGTTGTGTCCATTGCCACAGGATTTCTGTGTGTAGGGCACAAAAAGAAAATAAAAAAAAAAGAAAATAACAAGTAAGCCAATGAATAGGTAAATTAAGGCTTTGGCCTTTGCCATAAAAGTTTGACTATCGGTCTCTGTTTCACTTTCTAAAAGTTTTCATCTTTTTGTATGGTAATCATTATACATCCTTAACATTTTTAAGGTTAATATTCCTAAAACTTTTAATAATCAATCCTCTAAAGAACTATAAGCATTTCATCTAGCCACCAAAAATATGCGTATTCTAAAATTCCAGGCCATAGTTCCTCATCTATCGGTTCTCAAGCCATAACTTACGATCCACTACAATCTTAGTGAAACCTGCTTTCACTTCAAGGTTCTTAGGCTCACCTGAAGCAGAGGTCTATATGGTCAATGTAGGTGTACGGCAGTCCGAAGCTGCTGGTCCCTGTAAGGTTCAGGTTGTCTTCATTGTTCTGGAAGTAGTTTACCACGCTCTGGATGGTGCAGTTATTGTTCACAGGTGAGAGCGGTGTAAAGCATATATCCTCCAGGTACACATCTTTATCATCTACTTTCCCATGTACCTAAAAATAAAAAAAGCAAGTGAATTGATACACAAATACATTAATAAAATATATATATATAAGAAATCAACTGATAAATAAATTCATAAACAAATAAATAAAGAAAACAAAACAAGGAAAGGATTTCTTGTTAACCATAAATGCAAGGTTAAGGAAAGATAATAAAAGAACAAGCTATTCATCTACCATAATACTGAAAACCTGAATAAACTTTCAACAAATTTAATTTGAGACAGAAACAAATATGTCTTTGAATGCCAATGTGCTTTGCAGCAAGTTTGTAAAACAAATATAAGAGGGAATGATTCTTTGTGAAATGTGGATAGATCCCAACATTTTCATCTTCAAACCCTGTTCAATCCTCAATAATTAACAAGCTAAATATTTATATACATACATATATATATACATACATACATATATACATACATACATACATACATACATACATACATACATACATACATACATACATACATACATACATACATACATACATACATACATACATACATACATACATACATACATACATACATACATACATACATACATACATACATACATACATCTGGTAATCTTACCTCTTGTGTTATGATGTTCTGCAGCTTGAAGACCTCTGCCAGGAATGTCTGGTTATAAGCTGGCCCCCACATCTCTGTGCCATTGGGAGTTTGATGTGGAACCTACAATGATGCCAGAATTCATCAGAAAAAAATTCTAACTGCAGGCACTTGTATATCTTTAGTTATACTACTCTCTCTATAGGGATTTTGAAGAATATTTGAAAAACTATATACTTACCTTATCAACTCCTTTTGGTCTTATAATAAGCATTTCTGTTCTGTAGAAAGGTTCAAAGTTCTTGTCAAAATAATCCTTTTCAATACGAGACTTAGAATTTGGGGCAGCCCATAGTTCTACTGGGTTTGTTGTCACTTTCAGATAGATGATGCCCACTGACAGTCCAATGGATATCAGTACACCTACAATGAGCACAGTCCACGGGTGATCAGCACACACTGAAAAAAGAAGAGGAAAGCACTTGAAAGAGTTGTGTACATGATCTGTTACTCAGAAACATCAAGAAAGAAAAATTGCTGAATATTATCCTAAACTGTAGAAAAGTAAAAGCAAAAGAGGGGAAAAAAATGGAGAAAAATACATTCTCATGCTACAACATTCACATGAAATGGATGATGCTTATAGAATTATCAAATTACCTGTGCCCCATGATGTGAAGAACCTTTCCAGATAATCCTCCAAACTCGATCCAAGTTTCTCGAAAAAGCTGGGCTCATCTCCCGCCACAGCTCCACTCTGGTCAGTCACTGCAACTAAAGATACTGCACTTGTGAAATAATGATCAATTTCCAATGCATATGAGACCAGTTCCTCCTTCTCCACTATCAGGCAGAGCCCTATCATGAATGCACTTTAAAAAAAAACAAAAAAACACAGCATGGCACTCTCCATTACTTACTATCTATGCTCCTTGCCCTGCATGAGAAGCAAATGTAAACAACGGTGAAGGCTGTTGCAAAGACAATGAACAGCAATGTCATCACCACTTCCATGCCGTTCAACCCAAAAATAGTGAATGGCTGTGGCAGGGGGGGCAGAGGGGGTGGCACTGGACAAGACTCTTCACAATCGAGACAACTGCATGACCGGGAGTCATTCTGCAAGGTAGCATTTAAGAAGATGGATAAAGTTAAAAGCACACAGAATAGCTACTTATTATTCAATATCTATATTAATAGTGGGTGGGTGGGTCAGTGAGTGTACATGAAAAGGAGAGTGTGGCTGAGTGAGTAGGCAAACATATGGATATAGATGTAGGTGTGAGTGTGGGTGGGTGTTTGCCTGTATGTGCTTCAGTGTGTGCATGTGCGTGCACATGTGGGCATGTATGCATGTGCATGTGCTGAACTAAGTGTATGCATACATATGGCTACACAGGTGTGTGTGCACATCCCTCTATGCAGGTGTATGTCTGCATGTGTGTGCATGTAAATGACTGTAAATTATCCAAAAAAAAAATTAAACATGACTTACCGTTACACCTTGGTTGCACGGAATAATTGTTTTGTTGAAAGGCTTAAATTCAGATCCTGACTCCTCTTTGTAGATAAAATCAATCTGGAAGGGCGAATAACCATTACTGGTGCTGCCCATAAAGTCATACCACCTCTGGCCGGTGCAGTAGTAGGAGCCCCAAGCTCCGCACATGAGCGACATTGCCTTCTCATTGGTGGAGGGCATCGCTACGTCTTTACACGAGCTGTACACTCCATTTATAAAGTCATTTGTTATGTGCACATCCAATGAGGAGATGACTGTTTTATCTGTTAGAAAAAATAAATACATTCATAAATAATACTATTTAACAAATGTGCATAAGCAATATCACAAAACCATTAACTTCTTTTCACAATGAGAGACTATGGATATGTGGATGTGTGTGTGTACATACGTGTACATACATGCACGTGTGTGTGTGTGTGTAAATGCTATAGTTATATATATTTTAGAAACCCAACAATATAACGTCATATATCCCATATACAGATGCTGCTCCATACATCCATCAGTGAAAAAGTCTTGTGGGACTCACTTGTATCTGTGGCCTTTTTGACCTCTTTAACATTCATGAAGTCACTCTGGTCAGGACTGCAAGTCAGGTAGCAGAAGGCCATCCGGAAGTTCCTCACACAGGTTGGGCAACGCTTCAGCAGGCCCATCCCGACTGCCATCTGCGTCAGGATGGCAGTGACCTGATCTGCATCACAGCACGTACTGATGTTGCCGCCAGGGTCACGGGACACTGTGTGGAGAGTCAAAGAAAATTAAAATCACTTTGTGCTGAAATCTCAAAATTCCTCCTGTTCCAGCTGTATAATTCTGTAAGCCATGCATTACCAGGTTAAGGACATCAAACGCAAAGCACAAACAGCGCAATTTCCCTATAAATGCTACTAAATCATTCCCATCCTTGCATCTGACCAAAAGACGACGACAACTTGGACTGGGAGAAGTATCAGCAAACTTTCAAAAACCTCGACTGCATAATGAAGATACTAAAAGGAAGCAGAAGAAGAAGAAAAAGAAGAGGGAGAAGATGATGAACAATAACCATTAGTACTAGCCAATCAACAAACAAAGCCCCTTAAACAATCAGACTTACTAAGGTCCATGACAAGTTCTGGACATGCTGCTGCCAAGGTCATGTGGGCAGAAGGGTCCAGCACCTGCGCAGTGCCATTATATGGGCAGTTGGCGGTTTTCGAGGTGAGAGGATTCTGGCCGCACTGCCCATACCACACACAGTGCCCTTCACTTTTTGT